CAGACAATTGTAATAAAACCGTAGAGTTCAGACAAATCAATAATGGTCTTGTACGGCTGTTTTTTAATCTTGGCATGAAGATGAGAATTCTGTGGTGCACTGATGTATATTCAAGACTTTGATAAAGACGAAAAAACCAAAATGTTGAGAATTCATGAAAAAGATCCTAGAATCTTGGTGCAGAACAAGTTGAAACAAAATTATGATAATTTTGCGACGACAGATTCTATGTATAATGTATGTTTCACCTTTTTTCTTCCTTTTTTAGGGCTTGAAAAATCGTTGTATGGTAGTCTTGGACGAGAGAACTTTTTAGGCAATGATGCAATCTGCGCTATCAAATCTGATCTTAAAATGCTAATCTCTCCTACCTAAACGTGCAGCCGGTTGTAGCATTGACGAGAAACTTGATTGATGCCTTGTTTTCACTTCGACACTCTCCGGATTTCGGCAATGAAAAAAGCAGTGGCGATTCATCACCATCTTAAGAAGAAAGTTGAAATGACAGCTGTTTGTTGAGAGTTAATGAGATAATTTCTATTGTTTGTAGCAACATTCTTCCAAGCTTCTTCTATACTAGACAAACCACCTTTGAGGAGCAGATGCTAATGGAGACCTCCCTCACAGCCAACAATATCATGAGATCAATTCAGATCCACTTACTGATGATATCTCAGAAGTCCACACATATTACTCAATCTAGACAACCGCTAAAATGGTATGACGCGCTTGTAAGTTGAATCAAAAAGCGTACTAAGAACCAAGGGTACTGTAAACCCATACTGCAAAAGATATCTCTATTACTTTTCTCATCTCAAATTTGGGAGAAGGCGAATCAAAAAACACCAGTATAGGCTACAAACTAAATGGAATTTGATAATCTGCTGCAACCTCTGAATGCGTAGATTTCTTGTCCTTGGACATAGCCATTCCTCTCAACCTTCTCCATATTTGCCAGCGCATTTTGGAATTTCAACTTGAACGTCTGCATGAAAGCTGAGTAGTTTGAAGCAGTCAATGTCGCATATTTGATGGAATTCACCAGCGCGTCTGCTATATGAGTATCGTTCATGACGATTTCAATTGATGCCTATAATTGTTAGTAGAGAAAGTTGGGTAAGAAGACCCTCTACAAAAATACTAATGTATTTGAACTTGATTTCAAAGAAAAACAAATTCCAGCAATATTACAATTTATCTGAATAGTTAACCTCTTGGATAATATTCTGACATTGACCTTGACTCCATTGCACTGGCAGAAAAGTAACGTTTGAGCGAAAACTAGTCTCTATGCTGATGT